TCACAAATAACCTGTTTTCCGGCTGAAGCACGAAATTGCGAGCATTCACATAGTTATGTTATCCTAAGAAGTAGTGGTGAAACGAATATCAAAACCCAGTAGCCGAATATTCTTCGGCTTAACGAACGAACGAACGAATATTCTTTCGTTAACATGGATGACATTACATGCCCTCCTCTCAGTCATTTTATTGGATATTGTCACTATTATTAGGCATGACGAACGAAGGCATATATTTCTCCATCATCTTTAGGTCATTTTTCACAAAAATCGCCAGCTGAAGTGCTTTTCACAGGCTCAAAAAACAGCTTGAGACGTGATTTTTGTTTGAGCGCCACATCTCCCCTCCAGGACCTAGGATTGCGTTCGGGTGGCTTCTAAACAACAGCTGAGAGTTTGCTAATGCCGATAGATCTTTCAATGAAGCGATTTGGTCAAGTATTCACGAAGTTACGAAAGTTTGAAGTCGCCCGGTTGATTCTGCATACCGGGTTAACGAATATTCGCCATGAGAAATATTCGTTCGAATGTGTCAAACCGAACGAATATTCGAACATTCGGTATATTCGTTTCACCACTACTAAGAAGGGACTTCTCCCCTCCTGGCAAGTAAACTGCACGTGGGAACTGGCAGCACCTTTCAACTACATGTTTGTAGAGTTATGGTCTGTTATGTTACCTTTATTTTACTTCACCATAGGTGCAGGCATTGCTGCCTTCTTGCTGGGGATCATAAATGATGCCACAGCTCCTAGGCTATGATGAAAAAATAAAATAGTATGATTAATGTGATCAAATCATATGAACTGTATGGGAAATAATAAGATGAGAGTATGGCCGTGCCCCAGATACTTGCCTAGAAGGGAAATCCCGTTTTATAGTCTGTTTGCAATACGCGCCACGTTTTGGTATAACATGAACTGGCAGACGTCGTTTTCATGCAAGTATATTCATGCAGGCATGTACACGCTATTCGTATAGCTGTGTGTACAGGTTTTTCGGCCCCAAACCTTCCTGGGAACGAAAGAATGAATCTCGATACAGGGGTCTGGATATGTCGTCTACGTTTTCGTATCAGGCATTTAGATTTCCCCGCCACGCTCCATGTTGTCATGGCTATTCAGACGAAAACGTCATGTACGCCACATTTTGGGCGTAGTGTGTATCGCCCATTAGGGTGACAAGTGCAACTAGTTTAAGAATGCCCACAGTTTCAAAATCTCAACCGGGAAACAACATACCTGCCAAGTATCCAGATTTTTTCGGGAGTATCCCGCAATTTTGGATGAACTCCCGCAATCCCGACATTCCTGTCGATTATCCCGAAATTCACTGTACAAGAAACAAGCTTGATATTGTACTTGGAGCACTTCAAATGACTTGTCACAGGCCAGTAATTGTCCTTATTGATCCCGGAGAAATGGGTTTGCTCCCCACACTGGAGCTCGCGCTTTTCCGCCGACTTGACTTTGACAGTTGACTGACTCACGACTGCCATCCAGAGCACATGAAAAGTCCATCGAACCTTCGACTCTGCAAACCTGCAACAGGCGCATAGCTCGTGTGGAGCACGGAGAGGGGGGGGGGGGCACATGCACTCCGTAAAATTGTCGAACTAGGTTCAGCATGCACGTAATGACTATGAGTGACATGTACCAGGCATACTACACATATGCAGTCGTGCACCCCCTAAGGGGTCGTCGCAAAGTTTTTATGTCGTCCATGAAATAAACATCATTCGTTGGGGGGGGGGGGGGGGGTGCGAGCCAAAATCGCAAGTCGACCAACACTGTACATATGACATGTACATGCATGCGATTTTCGTCGTCCAGCATAGCAAGCTGTGTTAGTTTCAAAGGGAGGGGAGGGTCCGAGTACGAAATGAACGATATTCATTTCAGGGACGACAACACTTTTCGGACGACCACTACAGAGGGACCAACTATGCTCCTCTGCAAGAAGCCACCACTCCCTGCTCAATACACAGTGTTTTGGGGAATTCACCCCATATCAGTTGAGGTTTTGTAAGCTGAAGAAGATTATGCCTGAAAGAGCACCACTTATATAATTATAGTGCTCTCCAGGTACAATCATAACCAAGGATATCGCAGTCAGCAGTGACACTGGTCGGTAATGTGCGGGCTTTAAACGACTAGACTTCTTATGGACGGGTGCAACGTGGCGCAGTTTCCACTGATGTGGTTTTACGCCTTGATGGCAACTTGTAGAGAAGAGCATGGCGAGTGGTCGAGCAAGCCCTCTGGCACATTCTCTTAGTGACTGGAATGGCACATTATCCAGGCCAGTTTCCTTGCATGTATCCATCTGGAACAGGAGCTTGCGTACTGTTGCTACATGGAAGTGAGGCTGGAGGTTAGACGGAGCAGGATGGTCCGGAAGAGTTGGTAGGTTTTCAGCACTGAGGTCATCGTCGCCAAGGCTGCACTCTATGACAAAGCACTTGGCAAGGCAGTCAGTCAGCTTTGGCTTGGTCTATTCTGTGCTCACGTCCAGACTCCTTGACCAGCGTGGGCATGCTTGAGCTACATGTGCTGCCCGATGCTGATTTCAGTGTGGATCACCACTGCCGGTCAGTGTGACCACCATAGGAGAGTTTAGACCATATCCGAGTCTCCCATGATGTGCGGGCCCTCGTCTGACTTGCTATGGCTTGTGTGACAGTGGTTAGAAAGTTTTGTTTTCAGTTCAAGCCTGTTCCAATCTCGACGCCAGAGCTTCCATGCTCGGTGTCGCCGTGCCAAAGCTTCATGGCATTCCGGTGTCCACCACTGTGGGTCAGTCAGCTTGGCTTGGAAGGTCTTCGATGGGATATAGGTATTCCGTCCTGAATCCGGCTAGTAATGCATATGCAGAGGCAATATACGTCTTGGTCATCTGAGGACAGTGCGTTCTAGTGCGTGTTGCGGATGTAGGCCTTCAGGCGGCCCCAAGTTGGCCTGATAATATCTCCAGATCCGCCTGAGCATATGGGTCTCAAGCTCACCGGAAGAGGGAAAGTCGCAAAGCACAACAACATGGTCTGACCGACCCAGTGGGGGATTGGTGGAGACCGAGACAGGTTGGAGAAGATCAGTGAGAACCTGGTCTGACCGACCCAGTGGGGGATTGGTGGAGACCGAGACAGGTTGGAGAAGATCAGTGAGAACCTGGTCTGACCGACCCAGTGGGGGATTGGTGGATACCGAGACAGGGTGGAGAAGATCAGTGAGAACCTGGTCTGACCGACCCAGTGGGGGATTGGTGGAGACCGAGACAGGTTGGAGAAGATCAGTGAGAACAAGGTCTAAAGTGTTCTGGCCACGTGTGGGCTGGTCCACAAGTTGGCTGAGATGGTGGAGTGCAGCAAGCTCCTCCAGGGCATCACCTGCTGCAATGGTTTTGGCGCTACCCAGCCATGCTGTGCTGTGGACATTAAAGTCACTGGCAAGTAGGACGTAGGATCCATGGCCTTGGGCGGTATCAATGGTGGTATCGAGCTACTCAATTAGCCGGGTGTCAACCTCATTACACAACCCAGGTCTATAGGCTGGGCTTATGACCACTACTTCACGTTGTGCTGCAGGAATACTGTAAGGAAGACAACTTCGCGGTCCTTCGTTGGAATATCGTCGAGGTGCAAAAGCATGCTTGACCGAACCCAACCTTCGACACCGTCACCGGCTGCATTTCGGTCACATCGGATTGGCGGAGAATAACCGGGAAACATAGTATCGGAGGGGATCGTGAAGCGAGATAATTTCATCTCGGTATCAACTGCGACGTCTACAACCTTTGAGTATAGCATGTGCTGCAGTTCGCCCAACTTATTTGACAGCATTCGTCACCAGCACCCTAATGTGTGGCTTAGTAGCGCTTGTGTGTGTGTGTGTGTGTGTGTGTGTGTGTGTGTGTGTGTGTGTGTGTGTGTGCCCACGTGTGTGTGTGTGTGTGTGTGTGTGTGTGTGTGCCCACGTGTGTGTGTGTGTGTGTGTGTGTGTATGTGTGTGCCCACGTGTGTGTGTGTGTGTGTGTGTGTGTGTGTGTGTGTGTTCATGTTATTCTTGCGTATGCCCTCATGGGTGTGTGCTGGCGAGTATTCATTTTCCTATGTGGGTGATTTGTGTCAGTATTCTGTGTGTGGTGTTGTGTTGGCATGCCGTGTGTGGTGTTGTGTTGGCATGCCGTGGGTGTGTGGTGTTGTGTTGGCATGCCGTGGGTGTGTGGTGTTGTGTTGGCATGCCGTGGGTGGTGTGGTTGTGTTGGCATGCCGTGGGTGGTGTGGTTGTGTTGGCATGCCGTGGGTGGTGGTGTTGTGTTGGCATGCCGTGGGTGGTGTGGTGTTGTGTTGGCATGCCGTGGGTGGTGTGGTGTTGTGTTGGCATGCCGTGGGTGGTGTGGTTGTGTTGGCATGCCGTGGGTGGTGGTGTTGTGTTGGCATGCCGTGGGTGGTGGTGTTGTGTTGGCGTGCCGTGGGTGGTGTGGTGTTGTGTTGGCATGCCGTGGGTGGTGTGGTGTTGTGTTGGCATGCCGTGGGTGGTGTGGTTGTGTTGGTATGCCGTGGGTGGTGTGGTTGTGTTGGCATGCCGTGGGTGGTGGTGTTGTGTTGGCATGCCGTGGGTGGTGGGGTTGTGTTGGCATGCCGTGGGTGGTGTGGTGTGGTTGTGTCGGTATGCTGTGTGTGCTGTGACTGTGTTGGTACGCTGTGTGTGCTGTGACTGTGTTGGTATGTTGTGTGTGGTGTGGTTGTGTCGGTATGTTGTGTGTTGAATTGTTGTGTTGATACGCTGTGTGTTGTGGGGCTGTATCGGTATGGTGTGTGTGGTGTGGTTGTGTTGGTACGTTGTGTGTGCTGTGGTTGTGTTGGTATGGTGTGTGTGCTGTGACTGTGTTGGTATGGTGTGTGTGCTGTGGTTGTGTTGGTATGGTGTGTGTGCTGTGGTTGTGTTGGTATGTTGTGTGCGGTGTGGCTGTTTTTGCTTCACTGTGTGTGATCATTACAGCCTCATCTTCCCACTGTGCAACCAGCTGTTGTACGGCGACTGGACTCTACCTCTGAACAGCTAACCCAGCAAGCTACATCCGTCACTGCACTGTCGGCGCGGAGTGATACGCTAGAAGAGCCCATTACCAACAACCAGACAACAACACCAGAACAATTGACCGCAACACGGCAACAACTGACTGCAGCGCAGCAACAACAACTAGCTGCAACAGACGAGGAAGTGACTCAGCAGGTATGAACCCTCATTACCGGAAAGTAGCCACAAATCCATACCACAAACGGCCTATTTAGAAGCGTTGACTTTTGAAACTGCCAGCATTCACATAGAGTTAGTTCAGTCCTCGTAAGAAGGGTGTATCCCTCCCGGCAAGGGGTGTATCCCTCCCGGCAAGGGGTGTATCCCTCCCGGCAAGGGGTGTATCCCTCCCGGCAAGGGGTGTATCCCTCCCGGCAAGGGGTGTATCCCCTCCCGGCAAGGGTTGTATCCCCTCCCGGCAAGGGGTGTATCCCCTCCCGGCAAGTAAGCTGCACTTGAGAACTGGCAGTACTATTAAAAAAATGGCCCTACCCTAAATACTGCTGACTTGCCTAGAAGGGAAAATCCTGTTTTAGAGGCTACTTGTACTACAACAAGGGCGTAGCGTAGCCCTTTTCAGTCTGATTCGACATTGTGTAAAAAAATCATCCTATTTCAATTTGTGCAACCAAGGATAGATACTGGCTCAGCCTGCTCCTTCTATTTGGAATTTTTGCGGTAAACTGCACAGGAGAGAATTCAACGAGTCTGATTCAGCAGTCTGTACATCATTCTCCTTTGATCTCGAACGGATGATGACATTATCGGCTGCTTCTTACAAACGTTTTGCTGGAGGCTGCCACATCTGGACTTGCAAAAAAACACGCTTTTTTTCCTCGAATGGCAGAGAGCAGCAAGTTGGAACAAAAGCGGCACAGTGGAGTCACTTCACACCCGCAGGGAGCAGTAAAACACCCGTATTTATTGCTCCCTGCTTCACACAGCGCCGCGCCTAATGCGCCTTTGTGTACAATGCACTAATGCAATGTTGTGCTGATTACGGGACTCTAACTCAGCTTCCACCCCCCCCCCCCCCCCCCCCCCGCTTCCGCTCACGCTGCAGTTCTGCAGCCTGCAAAGGTACCAACAATAGCTGTTAGTGTATGTACAATCTTGTTCAAGACTCGCATAATTTTATACCATGTGAAATCATGTATACCTTGTACATGCTGCGTGTGCAAGTTCAGCTCGCGCATCGACACATGCACTGAATGAATGTTGAACGTGGGTGGGCACTTTGCGCTAGTTTTTATCCTGTTTTGGGCGTTTTGCGACTTGGCGCAGCGAATTCTAGCTGCTTTGTTTGCGATACGGCGCTACGCGCCTGTCTAATAAAACATTTCCACCTCCGACACATGCGCTCTCTGGCCGCCCTCATCACACAAAAAAACTGTGCGATCTAATTAATTCTAGTCATTCATTTTTCCCAACCTTCCCTGATGCGACCTTAGTGGTCGAAACAGCACTGTATGGAGGGAATTTGTTCATTGTCAGTATCTACAGCTTGACAGTCATGTTGCTGGTGTGCTCAGGTCGGCCAGAGAGTGCATGTGGGGGAGGTGTGGAATTTCTTTATTGATAAACTGGCCGAGACCTGCTTCTTACCTACTTCTCTACAATGCGTGTACATGTACCACCAAAATAGTAAAATACTATTTTTCCGGGGTGTAAGCCACCCTTTAAACCGCATTACAGGGGAAGTTAAGCCTAAAATCAAAGTCTCACCAATTGTAGTCTGCGGGGTGCTGAGCCTAATGGTCTTGGTCCGAGGAAGCTGAGACGCTCCCTTCCTCCTTTATTCCCAATCGAACTGGCTGTAGTGGAGTATAGACCTGTATGAAGACTGGCTGTAGTGGAGTATAGACCTGTATGAAGACTGGCTGTAGTGGGGTATAGACCTGTATGAAGACTGGCTGTAGTGGAGTATAGACCTGTATGAAGACTGGCTGTAGTGGAGTATAGACCTGTATGAAGACTGGCTGTAGTGGAGTATAGACCTGTATGAAGACTGGCTGTAGTGGAGTATAGACCTGTATGAAGACTGGCTGTAGTGGGGTATAGGCCTGTATGAAGACTGGCTGTAGTGGAGTATAGACCTGTATGAAGACTGGCTGTAGTGGAGTATAGACCTGTATGAAGACTGGCTGTAGTGGGGTATAGACCTATATGAAGACTGGCTGTAGTGGAGTATAGACCTGTATGAAGACTGGCTGTAGTGGAGTATAGACCTGTATGAAGACTGGCTGTAGTGGGGTATAGACCTGTATGAAGACTGGCTGTAGTGGAGTATAGACCTGTATGAAGACTGGCTGTAGTGGGGTATAGACCTGTATGAAGACTGGCTGTAGTGGAGTATAGACCTGTATGAAGACTGGCTGTAGTGGAGTATAGACCTGTATGAAGACTGGCTGTAGTGGAGTATAGACCTGTATGAAGACTGGCTGTAGTGGAGTATAGACCTATATGAAGACTGGCTGTAGTGGGGTATAGACCTGTATGAAGACTGGCTGTAGTGGGGTATAGACCTGTATGAAGACTGGCTGTAGTGGAGTATAGACCTGTATGAAGACTGGCTGTAGTGGAGTATAGACCTGTATGAAGACTGGCTGTAGTGGAGTATAGACCTGTATGAAGACTGGCTGTAGTGGAGTATAGACCTGTATGAAGACTGGCTGTAGTGGAGTATAGACCTATATGAAGACTGGCTGTAGTGGGGTATAGACCTGTATGAAGACTGGCTGTAGTGGGGTATAGACCTGTATGAAGACTGGCTGTAGTGGAGTATAGACCTGTATGAAGACTGGTTGTAGTGGGGTATAGACCTGTACTGGGGTATATATCTATCTAAGGACTGGCTGAAACACACGTTGACGCCTTTCGCACGCCTGGTTTTCACTTTCACACCTTTTTGAGAAAGTAGTTGGTCAATGATGGCTGTTGGGAATGCCTTGCACTCCTCAATACCGGGGGGGGGGGGGGGGGTTGGCTGCCAATTGAGGGCCCACCACGACCATACAAAATTCAAAAGTGTCGACCACCATTTTGAACAAATGGCGACGGCCGCGGAGGCCAGAGTTTGTGCCGTCATAGCGGCTACGCACTCGAGTTCATACTGATCGATGTATAGCGATGTGCAGTCTAGTTGTAAAATACCGATATTTTACGACTCCCCGGTCTAGTCTGTAGAGCGAAGGGCCAGTGGCGAAGCGAGTCTTGTTGTTTGATGCTGGGAAAGACATGCGGAGAAGACGTCCTTTCTCCAAGCCATCTTGGTCATTTTTCTCAATCCGCTGGTGGGTGTCGAGCAAGATATGTCCGTGAGGTACTGGTGAACTGGAATCCTGGCATCTACAAGAATTTGCTGTGCCTAGCTAACCAATGTTGTTAGTAGAACCCAACATTTCCTGATCGCGACTCGGCACACCCTGTTCTGTTTGGCCTCGCAGCTTTCACGCTGCGAGTGGGAGTTTCCTGGCCAGAAATGAATCCCTTAGTCATGACCATGATGAGAGGTGACTGGTATGATCCCTGACTTGCCTGAGTCCTTAGCTTGAGTCAACACAAAGGTAAACTCTTCCCTTGGAACACTTGCTGTCTCCTCCGTACTTTCTTGCTGCACATGCAGATATGCGCACGGCGGCCAGGTTTTGTCGGTGCGAGCGGGAACGCACGGCCGACCTTGACGTTTTCAAAAAAGTAAAACAGCGGCTCAACTTGGCCGGTGCTCACCGTCGATAGCCCATTTTCTCGGTCTGGGAATTCTCTATCGGTTCACCGTCGCCGATTTCTAATTTTCTCTTCATTCATTTGTTCGCACGTCTTCGAGTTAGAGTGTTTTCACCATCCAATCTCAGCCAAACGAAATTCGAGTCGGTAACCCTCCAAAGACACACCTTCTGAACACGAATCCACAATGGCCTAGTGTCTAAAACCGACGAATACAGTCACGTCAAGCTCAGAAAACACCCCACGATTGCAAGAAACAGCCCGTGTTGCCGTGCGCTGATTGGTCAAATCCAAATGACCGTTATGGACGCTTTGTACGATCATGATGAGCCTTTCAATTACAAAATTAATACTAGTTCTATATATTTCCGAGATACTGTGTCTGTGCTGTTTTGCAGGCTGAACCTTCGGTAGCTGCAAGCACAACCAAATCAGCGGCTGTTGTATTGATGGTGGTCATTGTCCTCGGAGTTCTTTCATACGTGCTGTGGACAGTTCTATTGAGTCAGGTGAGTTTCTGCATCATCAGTAATTGTATTTGACTTTTCGACTCTGTGCTACAACCTTCCTCGCAAGTTTTTCTTGTCGTGTACTTCGTCCGCGTCAGCAATATTGTCGCTTATCTTTCGACAATTTGAACTTAGACATTGGACATTAACACGTGCACTTGAGATGATAAAACTTGGTATGATGGAAGGTAAGGTATATTATGACAACTGGTCATGAGGAATTGATTGTCCAAGGAAGGGTTCATAATTTTTTTGGTCCTCCTCGTCGCTGCTCTCGGCGCTGGTGACAAATATGTTTTGCTCGGGATCGACACTCTTGCTTTCGCAAGCTCATCTCTCTTCCTCTCCGCTGCCTGCCAATTTTCTAAAGGGAAGTGGATCGTGACGGTCGCCTTCTCTACAGGACTTCGAGTGGGCAGCATGACTGCTCGTGTGGTTCAAATCAGTCGACCTTCTTTTGCAAGATTTATTTTGAACGACGACGACGGCTACAGTACTTGCAAATCTCCACGATGCACCGGATACTCCGAGCGTTGACCTGGAGGTGAGGGAACTGCGAGCGATCCCTGAGGTGAGCGATCTCGGCCGTTGTGCAAAATGGAACTGATTCCGAGTAGCCGATTACTTTCTTGTTCATCGCTCTGCTCTTGCCTGTGCAGTGTGAAAAGATAATCTATTTTGATGCAGCACTGTATCCAACAGAATCACCCACCTGCCACTCTCGAAATCCACTCGAAATCTAGCTAGACATTTCAGGTACTAGTAAACTAACTTGCTAACCAAAATTGAGATGAAATAGGCTGCCAAGTGAGCAATGGCGACATAAAAACTAAGCTGAAAGATAAGCGACAATATTGCTGACGCGGACCAAGTAAGCGCAAAATTACATAGAAAATCAACATTTTTCTTACGATTCGGCTGGTACAGAAATTTACTTGATCATATTTTCTCTGCTGTGTATAGGCCAACGGCACTACAGTTGCAAGCTCAACTCAATCCGCTGTGGATGGAAGATGCCATGTCTTTCCTTTCATGCACCTACCAAGGCAGATTTCAAAGATCAAGCGAAGCAAGAAGGTAGTGTCTTGTTTCATGTTGAGTCTCTCCATGTTTCTTTTGATTCTCTCTCCGTTCTTCCAGGGAGACCCATCTGACCAGTTTTGGCAGTTACCAAGTACAAGTGAAAGTGCGTTTGTGTGTGTATGTGTGTGTGTGTGTGTGTGTGTGTGTGTTTGTGTGTTTGTTGGTTTCAGGGTTCATATAATATACTTTCTATTTGAAGTATACATACCTGTTGACCATGGACCGCTTCTGGCTAGATTAACTCTTGTGTAATCAATGATGCTAATGACGCTTATATCAGATCCACTCTGATTTAACCACCCACGCTAGTAGCAGGTATTACCTTCACTGGGAGCAGGGGTAACTGCAGTTGGATCCCAGGACGGATACACTGATGCCGTCAATCCTTTTTCTGCACCTTGTCATCACCCACTTACTGAGGTGTGGTGAGCCCATACATGTACGTGGGATCCTTTCTAAGTCCACCCAGAGTTTTGGGGATTTCAAGGGGTGTCGGCCATTGGGCGGTTCTATAGCCACTTGAGCCATCTCTCCAAGATTCATTTTCGATCGATCTCCCCTCTACCAGGGAGACCCACGTGACCAGTTTTTGTAGTGAGCAAGTACAAGTACAACTACAAGTGTGTTTGTGTGTGTGTGTGTGTGTGTGTGTGTGTGTGTGTAGTTGTAGAGGTCGGTTGCACTTTTCTGGGCTCTGACCAAAATAGAAGGATAACTATGTTTGCAGCCACGGCCGTCTAGTGTAGACTAGGCCATATTAGCTGCAGCATGTCCCAGTGGATTTGTGTTATGCTGGAACTACAGTGCTGGCAACTGAAATCCGACCCCCTGAGCGGTGGGTTCACATTCTAGCGGTCTCTGTTTCGCAGCTTTACCATCCCGTGTTGTATCTTTGCGATGTAAGCGCACCGCTCAGGGGGTCGTATTTCAGTTACCAGCACTGTTGGTACCCAAACACTGGTTTTCGCTATCTCTTACAAATGCTGGTACAGAAATTTACTTCATCATATGTCTCTGCTGTTTGTAGGCCAAAGCTACTACAGTTGCAAGCTCATCTGAATCCGCCTCGGGTGGGACACCAAGTCAGAATTCAAAGACCAAGCCAACCGAAAAGGTATTGTCTTGTTTCATGTTGAGTCTCTCCATGTTCCTTTTGATTCTGCCTCCCCACTCCCTGGGAGACCCGTGAGACTAGTTTTTTTTCTGTTTATAAGTATCCCGACAAGATAAGTAGAAGTAAAATTGTGTGTGTGTGTGTCGCATTAAAGCGCAGCGTTTATGCTCATTAACAGCTAGCATCATTGCAGCTCACCGCCGCGGGTACGTGCTGCCCCATGTACTCGAATGCACATGGTGCCGCACAACTGCCCCTGCTGCCCCATGCCCTTGCATGCGCATGGTGCCGCACAACTGTCTCCGCCGCCCTTTGTCCTCGCAGGCGCGTGGGGCCGCACAACTACCTCTGCCGCCACATGTCCTTGCGGGCGCATGGTGCCGCACAACTGTCTCTGCTGCCCTGTGTCCTCACGCAGGCATGGCGCCGCACAACTGTCAGTGTTGCCACTCACATTTACCCCAGCGCACACAACGTGCCCATGACGTCAGCAACTATACTGATGCCCGGTTACCATGACGCAAAAATGGCGACCCATTTTTCTTGCTCCCTTGCTGACAATCTCTTCTCAAGAATTGTTCATGGTGGTGACTGGTTGTCAGTTTATTTGTTTCTTGTTCCCACCCTCCCACTCCCATATTTATCCTCACATGCTTACTTTTATAAAGTAAACCCCAATAAACGGTGCCCGGCGGCTCTCCATTTCTCCATTGAATGCATCAGTGGGCTCTTGGCTCTTGCCAACACTGCTATTACTTGCCCCCCCCCCCCCCCCCCGGGCAAATGCAATTCAATTTCGCCGGCCGCGCACCATCCACCCAAGCAATGTGTGTTCTTGTTAATGTGTGTGTGTGTGTGTGTGTATGTGCATGTGTGTGTGTGTGCTTGTGTGTGTGTGTGTGTGTGTGTGTGTGTGTGTGTGTGTGTGTGTGTTTGTAGTTGTAGAGGTCGGTTGCACTTTTCTGGCCTCTAACCAAAATAGAAGGATAACTGTGTTTGCAGCCACAGCCGTCTGGTGTAGACTAGGCCATATTAGCTGCAGCATGTTCCAGTGGATTTGTGTTTTGCTGGGACTAGGTACACAAACACTGGTTTTCGCTATCTCTTACGATTGCTGGTACAGAAATTTACTTGATCATATGTCTCTGCTGTTTATAGGACAAAGCTACTACAGTTGCAAGCTCATCTGAATCCGCCCCAGATGGGACACCAAGTCAGAATTCAAAGACCAAGCCGACCGAAAAGGTATTGTCTTGTTTCATGTTGAGTCTGTCCATGTTCCTTTTGATTCTGTCTCCCCACTCCCTGGGAGACCCATGTGACCAGTTTTGGCAGTTTACAAGTATACGTACAACATCAGTAGAAGTAAAACTGTGTGTGTGTGTATGTGTGTGTGTGTGTGTGTATGTGTGTGTGTTTGTGTGTGTGTGTGTGTGTGTGTGTGTGTGTGTGTTTGAAATCTATTATTCTCACGATGGCCTGTGGCCAATAAGAGAAAAGGAATTGCAGGCGCGGGGATTGGCCGTTGTTGAGGTGAGGTTGGATGTGCTTGGAGATCCGGTCAGCAACTATCCTCTCTTGCACTATCGATGTCACGCTGAGCAGCGATATCGGTCGTTAGTTGGAGGGCTCGGTTTTGCTGCCCATCTTGTGGATGGGGGTGACTGTTGCGTCCCTCCACTCTTGCGGAATAGTGCAACGTTCGAAGGAGATGTTAAAAAGGGTTACTAGGGACGGCGCAAGTGAATTGGTTGCCTCTTTCAGTAGGCGGGCTGGTACATGTGTGTTTGTTTGTATTTGTAGAGGTCGGTTGCACGTTTCTGGGCTCTGACCAAAATAGAAGGATAATTATGTTTGCAGCCACGGCCGTCAAGTGTAGACTAGGCCATATTGGCTGCAGCATGTCCCAGTGGATTTGTGTTATGCTGGAACTACAGTGCTGGCAACTGAAATCCGACCCCCTGAGCGGTGGGTTCACATTTTAGCGGTCTCTGTTTCGTAGCTTTACCATCCCGTGTTGTATCTTTGCGATGTAAGCGCACCGCTCAGGGGGTCGTATTTCAGTTACCAGCACTGTTGGTACCCAAACACTGGTTTTCGCTATCTCTTACGAATGCTGGTACAGAAATTTACTTCATCATATGTCTCTGCTGTTTATAGGCCAAAGCTACTACAGTTGCAAGCTCATCTGAATCCGCCTCAGATGGGACACCAAGGCCGACTTCAAAGACCAAGCCAACCGAAAAGGTATTGTCTTGTTTCATGTTGAGTCTCTCCATGTTCCTTTTGATTCTGTCTCCCCACTCCCTGGGAGACCCATGAGACTAGTTTTTTTCTGTTTACAAGTATCCGGACAAGATAAGTAGAAGTAAAATTGTGTGTGTGTGTGTGTCGCATTAAAGCGCAGCGTTTATGCTCATTAACAGCTAGCATTATTGCAGCTCACCGCCGCGGGTACGTGCTGCCCCATGTCCTCGAATGCACATGGTGCCGCACAACTGCCCCTGCTGCCCCATGCCCTTGCATGCGCATGGTGCCGCACAACTGTCTCCGCCGCCCTTTGTCCTCGCAGGCGCGTGGGGCCGCACACCTACCTCTGCCGCCCCATGTCCTTGCGGGCGCATGGTGCCGCACAACTGTCTCTGCTGCCCTGTGTCCTCACGCAGGCATGGCGCCGCACAACTGTCAGTGTTGCCACTCACATTTACCCCAGCGCACACAACGTGCCCATGACGTCAGGAACCATACTGATGTCCGGTTACCATGACGCAAAAATGGCGACCCATTTTTCTTGCTCCCTTGCTGACAATCTCTTCTCAAGAATTGTTCATGATGGTGACTGGTTGTCAGTTTATTTGTTTCTCGTTCCCACCCTCCCACTCCCATATTTATCCTCACATGCTTACTTTTATAAAGTAAACCCCAATAAACGGTGCCCGGCGGCTCTCCATTTCTCCATTGAATGCATCAGTGGGCTCTTGGCTCTTGCCAACACTGCTATTACTTGCCGCTCCCCCCCCCCCCCCCCCCGGGCAAATGCAATTCAATTTCGCCGGCCGCGCACCATCCACCCAAGCAATGTGTGTTCTTGTTAATGTGTGTGTGTGTGTGTGCATGTGTTTGTGTGTATGCATGTGTGTGTGTGTGTGTGTGTGTGTGTGTGTGTGTGTTTGTAGTTGTAGAGGTCGGTTGCACTTTTCTGGCCTCTAACCAAAATAGAAGGATAACTGTGTTTGCAGCCACGGCCGTCTGGTGTAGACTAGGCCATATTAGCTGCAGCATGTTCCAGAGGATTTGTGTTATGCTGGGACTAGGTACACAAACACTGGTTTTCGCTATTTCTTACGATTGCTGGTACAGAAATTTACTTGATCATATGTCTCTGCTGTTTATAGGAAAAAGCTACTACAGTTGCAAGCTCATCTGAATCCGCCTCAGATGGGACACCAAGTCAGAATTCAAAGACCAAGCCAGCCGAAAAGGTATTGTCTTGTTTCATGTTGAGTCTCTCCAAGTTCCTTTTGATTCTGTCTCCCCACTCCCTGGGAGACCCATGTGACCAGTTTTGGCAGTTTACAAGTATACGTACAACATCAGTAGAAGTAAAATTGTGTTTGTGTGTGTGTGTGTGTGTGTATGTGTTGTTTTTGTGCTCCTTGGGAGCAGGTTACACTTTCTGAGCTCCGTGTTCTTGGCTTTCTCCAAAGTTCTGCCTGCCCAGGGCGACTCTGGCGTAGCCAGAGTCGACCCTGGAGCACCCTCGCACACTGCCAAGGTAGTGCTGCATGATTGGAGCGCGGAATCGCGATGTAGCTTGCAGGACAATTTACTTCGATATTGTCACTGCTGCGTCGGCCGTGGTCCACCACTCGCAGTGGAG